GGCAAGGGACGTTCAGCAACGTCCGTGCCGAGGTCCGGCCTGGGAGCCCGCTGCTGCGCCAAGCACCCTTGCTGAAGATTGATCCATTTCTCCAAAGGCTGCGGAGGCCTCTATCACACATATTTGAAGATTTCGAAGCATCAAAATGGCCCTCTGAGTACAAGACTGAAAGGCTACTACTCTGTCGCATGTCAAAACATTGCACATATTCCACAATGAATAGCAACCTGATACTTCAAGGGACCTTAAAAAGACCAGATATGATATTGATCACAAGAGAAAGAACTGGGAATAGGGCATCCAATATACTCCTTGCCGTTAATTTTATAAGTGCACTTGAACCTCCCACCCTGAAAACCTCCCTACACTCTTTTTTTTTTTTTTTTTTTACCTCCCTACACTCTTGATGATCGAGTCCCGCGCCGGGCTCCCTGCTCGGCGGGGAGCCTGCTTCTCCCTCTGACCCTCCCCCCTCTCATACGCTCTCGCTCTCTCATTCTCTCTAGCAAATAAATAAATAAAATCTTTAAAAATATATATATAAGTCATTAGGGATTCCGACAACCATACCCACAAATTACCTCAAAGTCCCAAGTGAAAGGTACTGGATGAGTGAAAACAAATCATCATTGGCAGAGTTTTCCTACTATCGGTACACTATAAACTCACCTGTGGGGTGATGGTAAGATGTTCTAGACATTACTCCATCCTGAGGGTGCTGGCATATATACCATGGAACTCAGAATAATTATATTGTTAAGTAAGTAATCAGATGGGGGGAAATATTGGGCTGAAAGCCAGACTGGAATGTTCTTTATTAATTAAAATTTTCTTCAAAATAAGAAACACTCCCTACTTTTCTATCGCTGGTGTTTCATAAAACTGAGCCTCACATTTTTCTATTATAATCTGTGGCTACATCCTGATTCAGGATCTGGCACTAAGTTATAAAAGTATGAGCAACAGTATCCATAAAGGAAACATGCAACGTCTCTCAACCTTAAAATTAGTAAGAGAATACTCCCCATCCAAAAAAACCCATCACCACTATTTTACAAAAGTTGATAATTTAAGGGAAACTCTAGACTACCATGAAGTACAAAATCAACCTCTAACCTACATTTACTTGACCTAGCTTGAGGTGTAAAACCTTACTCAGGTTTGGTTTACTATTCTAGTGAACACTTAAAATTCAGAAGCCTTTTCCAGGGGACCCATTTGAATAACTCAGCTCTCTAAAATTTGTGTGAAGTAGTTTAAATGAATATCTCTTTTGTTTTTCTTTCAGAAAAGGAGCCTGGATGAGATTATCAAAGGTATCATACCGGCCTGGAGCCTCCTCTAGTGCTCAGTGCATCTTGTTTGGGGGTAATGATGAGGTTCCAAAACTGGAAATTAGTTTGAGATGCCAAGACAACACAACAGATCCCCCTTATTTTCTGTGGTGGGCTGGATCGTGTCCCACAAATGATATGCCTAAGTCCTAACCCGAGGACCTGGGGATGTGACTGTGTTTGAGAGCAGGGTACCTGCAGATGTACTCACGTTAAGATGAGGTCATGCCATGGGGGTTGCTTCTAGACGGCACGGCCCCCCACTACCCTGCACATCCTACTTCGTTCATTCACCTGTTCTGCCTGGTCTCTGTGGTCTCACCTTTCCATTCTACAAATCAACCTTAGAGAGTCCACATGGTTTGATCGAGGTCATAGGTGCACTGGTTGAGCCTTGAACCCAGGACAGTCCGATGCACTGATGAGCTAACACTTCACACAACAGTATGAGCATATAAGTGTCCAATAAAACATAAAATACACTTTTTTTAGACAAGATGAAGTCACACTGGAGCAGGACAGGTCTTACTCCGATGTGACCAGTGTTTATAAGGAGGGAGACACAGGGACAGCACCTGTGACAAGCGAGGCGGAGACCCCAGTGCTACAGCTACCAGCCAGGGAACCCCCAAGGCACCGGAGCCCCTGACCTAGGCTGCAAGAGGCAAGGAAGGACTCCCCCGTCGAGACTTCCAAGAGACCACCGACCTACTGATCCGGACTTCTCTGTTCCAAGCCACCGAGCCTGTAATGTTTTGTCAGAGTGGGTCTCACATGCTCCCGCACATGACAGAATTCCCACGCGGGGTCTTTCTTCTAGGCTGACGGGCACCAGGGCACAATCCGCATCATCCAGTCACTCCGCTGTGCATCGGAACTCGGTCAGCAGTTACCAGGTGCTTCCTGTGTGGACTTGGGAAATGTGGAGCGTTAGGCAGCTTCTCTAGAACAGCCCCGCAAAGGTCCGGTGGAGGCTGTTGGGGGCGCCGGAGGGGTCTGCACCTTCCCGCTGCTGGAGCGCCCTGGACTGGGGAGAGAGGGCCTGAGGGTGGGGGCCTCACCAGGAAGTCGCTGGGAAGTCCTTGTGATCAGGGAGGATACTTTCTCTCTGGAACATCCACCCTCTCCATGGAGCGCGCATACAGATCTTCGTCCTCAAGCCCCATTCCACGCGGTAGCGAATATCTGAAAGCACTCGCCATGTTCCCCTTGACACTCTGCTTTTCCGTGTCCTTCCACGTGCAGGCCAGAGGCGTGACGCCCGAGCGCTCCCCACGCTGATGCACGTTCTCTGCGCACATTGCTCCCCTTTCCCTACGGGAAGCAGAGCTGCGCTCCCCTCGGAGCCTTCGGGCTTCCCAGCTCCCAGCAACGGGGTCTCAACCAGCACTGGCCCATTTAGTAATGCGGGCTTTGCTCTTAAAATTAGAAAGAAAGAACATCACTTTGCCAGATTTTTTAAAAGAACACAGCAGGAAGCTACCAAACCAACAAGTTGGGTGACAGGAAGGGAATCGAGGATGCCGATGAGAAGAAGATGGGAAAGGGAGAACAATGTGGGGAGGGGGTGGAGAGAGGTGGGCGCCCACCAAACCCCGGCCTGCTGCCTTCTGGGGTGGGGGGCACACCCAGGGGCCACGGTGCCGAAGGCACCCGGCGCGTCAGCGCACGGCTCCGGCACCACTCCGAGCGCGGGCCTGGGGAGGGCCCCGGGACGCCCGCGGAGTCTATATCCATGTCACGGCGCGCTGTCTGCAGAAGCCGGAGGGCGGTGTTCGCGGACCCGATGCTGCGGGGGCAGCCTGGGCAGCACGCTAGCGGAGAGGTCCCGCAGGCAGGAGTGGGGGCTCGCGGCAGCGCGTTCTGGTTGTGCCGCACACCGGGAGACCCTGACTTTCTAAACTAGCATCCTAAATTCTGTCCGGAAGGAAGTCAACAACATCAGTAACGAATAAGACCTGCAGAAGCCCGGTATCGCATCTTCGCCTTGGGAAAGGGAACATGGAATCCAGAGCACACCAAGTCATGCGGGTGATGTCCGGACAGGTGCTTTCTCCTCCGAGCCACGTGTGCATAAAACAGTGGCCGGCTCTATGTGGCTGGAACGGTGCGTCTCAAACGTGGGCGACCACATGAGTCACTGGGAATCTTGTGAAACACAGAGTCCCGTTCAGCAGGTCTGCCTCTCCAGCAAGCCCCCCACTGTGCTGCGAGGGCTTGTCTTGGAGTCACGCACTGGAGCAAGGTGGTGGGGGAGCTGCACAGGACATCCTCCACCTCAAGCATCTAAGGCTCCAACCGCAGCTCCCCGAAAGCTCAAGGGGAACTGTGCTCTGAGTTGAAGAGGTCAGGCTGTACTCCTCCCTCGGAGGGACATTCTCACTGCAGGGTTATAAAACCGAGACCTGGAAACCAGGCTTGGAGGCCCAAGGCCGTTCTCCCTCGGAGGTCTTCCTAACACAGTGGACCTTCCAACAGAGCTCGTAGTCAGGGATTTTTAAAACATAACTTTCCTGTTGCAGAATTTAAGCTGCTAACTTCAACATCGAAAATTATCTCCTCTGACTCCTTTTATGCATTTTTTCTTACCCGATTACATTTAGTAATAATGGATTTTGACAAACACTTACTGCAAAAATACAGGCTTTTTGTTTCTAAATTAGGGTCAAAACTAACTTTTGTTTCCTGAAGAGCACTTGAAAACACCAAATAAGATTGATCTCTGTCTAAAATCATTACACTTAGCAATCGTTTGTGTGCTAATAGCTGTATTAAAGTTTCTACAATACTTGATTCTCCCAAGTGCATTAGGCACCCCACCTACAATTCTATTCAGATGGTTAATTTGCATGAATAATCTGTTTTGATTAGAAAGATGTAAAATCACAAGTGAATTCTAAATTAGTTGAATTTTAACTTTTTAAATTTTTTAAAAGACTTATTTACTTATTTTAGAGAGAAAGAGAGAGGGAGGGAGAGAGCATGAGCAGAGGGAGAGGCAGAGGGAGAGAGAGAGAGACAGAAAATCTCTAGCAGACTCCCCACTGAGAAGAACCTGAAGCAGGGCTCAATCTCATGACCCTGAGATCATGACCTGAGTGGAAATGAGTCAGAGGCTTAACCGACTGAGCCACCCAGGTGCCCCTAAATAAGCTGAATTTTAAATAAGGGCTTTTCATAAAGTACACATTAAATATTTAAACAAAAAATATAGTTCTGTTTGGCTTTAGTTGGGTGATTATTTGTTGTTTTGATTTGTTTTAATTCAATCATTTTAAAAACATAGATTCAGCTTTATTTAAAATAGATTTCAATGTCTGTTGTATGAAGGAATTATATGTACTCAAGTAATACTTTATTTTAACTGAGTAAGTGAGTCATTTCTCTGTTCAATAATTAGGATTCATTTCAGCTATTTTTGGTTTGGTTCCATATTATATAGTTTATATAATAATCATCTTGAAAAGGTTCACCTCACATTTCTGAGTATTTTTCAATTCCCAATAATTTTAGAACTCCTAACCTGGCATCTCAGATGTGCACATTCAGGCACACACGCACGCACGCACGCACGTACGTGCATGGTCCCTGTTGCCGCCACATTTGGTGTTCCTCTGCCCTCTCCTGGTAGCTCCTGAGATCTGCCTTTCTTAATTTTATTCTTACCTCCAGTTAGGTGTTTTTTCCTCTCGCAGAACTGCAGTTCAAAATACTTTATGAAGCAACTGGACAGATCATTAAGCGTTGTCTTGGCATGTCCAAAGGCTTCCAAGATGCACATGACCTGTAGCAACATGGAAACATTTACTGAGCTCCTCATTTTTCAAAATAAAGGGAATGATAGCAAAGATACAGAAATATCCCCTTATCTAAGAGGTTCTCTGTTGTTTGTATGATACCATATTGAATTTTTACAGTCACTCTTTCTTCAACGGCAAACTACTAGTATCCTCTGCCTCAAACTTAATAAGATAATGATACACAGAGGATTTCCCTTGGCTTTGCTATCTCTTCACACAAACATAAACAACTCAACACATATTATTAAGGCTTTTAGACTTAATAGGACAGCAGAAACGCTTTTGTGGCTTTGGAGGGGAGGAATTAAATTTAATAGAAGTGATAGTGAGAATTTCTTTTGAAACAAATGAACTTAAACATTTGCTTCTAACCTTCTTTTGAACGGGGATTGACACACACACTCTTTCAACCCCAAGCCTCTACATGTTCTCTCCTGTTCTCCCCCACAGAACAGGAATAAGAGCTTTAGATGAAGCTGTTTTACTCGGTGTGTCTCACCACCAGTGTTCTCTTTCAGAGGGGGGAGTTAGGGCTTTAAGATGCTGTTAACAAAGATCTTCAGATCAACCCTGGCATCTGAAAGTCTTAACCGACATGCTTCTTTAAACCCTGACTATAGAGAAAACACCATTTCTTATCACAATCGATTGTGTCTGTGATGATGATGATGACCAAGCATTTCTCCAGAAAGTGAAAATCTGGACGGTTCAAAGTATTTTTCTGTTATCTTTCAAGTCATGGATGTGAAATGCAGTTCCTGCATCAGCCACAAGGAGGCGCAAACTAACACATTACTTTATTGATACAGTGGTTTCTTTATAATTTCTGGTGATAGTAAATTTTGAGAATTTTATTCTAAGTTAAAAAAAACTTTGCTGCTACTTTTTTACTTTCTGGATACTGATCTATTAAGGTATTTGGTTCACCTGGAAGTATTTTATATCTTGAAAGATTATAAAATACTTGGATTCTAATCACAAATCCCAAGTGCTAAAAGTTGTGGTAATAGTAAAATACCAAAAGATTGGTTTTTGAACTTTTGAACTTTTGGAGGAAACATGTTGAATCTTTACAGAAAACCCAGGATTTAGGTCTCTTTGTAATAACCTAATTTTAAAGATCATAACAGTAAATCGATAGTAATGATGGCAGAAATATATTCTGAAAAATAATTTGAAATAGTATTTTTAAAGGTCCTGCTTTTTGCTTCTTTTCCAATAGTTCAATATTAAAGAAATATATTGTGGAATTAATAGTGTAAGTAAATCACATTTTCAACATGTAAATTACATTTAATAATCATTTAAAAATTCGTAACAAGGATTAGAATGAATTTTTTTCAAGTATTCTGGCTTCTAGCTATTTTGGTGCTATATCTGAAAATAAACTGGCTTGTTATTATAGAAAAGAGACATAAAAGATAAAGAATAACATGTGCTCAAACAGGAAATATAGGGTAATGGTTCAATACATGTGCTTTGGAGTGAGAAGTAGCTGCCCCCACATTCCAGCTCTGCTAGTAACAAATTATATGACATTAAGCCAGTTTCATGAATTCCCAGAACCACATTCTCCTTTATTTTAACACAGGAATAACTCCTTCAGTGCTCATCAATGTCAGCTGTACAAATTCTCAGCTTGGTGCCTGGTACATGGTACGCATCCAACAAATAACAACGATTAGTTTTATTTTTGTTAATAATAGTAGCAAAATTTATTCTGTGTCAAGCATTATTCTAAAGTTTTTTATATATAACATATATAAATGAAGTAATACATAAAATTATGTATACTCTATACACACATAGGTATACATGTTTATGTACATTTATGCCTATATTTATTTTAATGCTTACAGCTAGTGTCTCCGTTTTGTAGAAAAGGAAATGAGAGCTTACATAACTTCCCCAAGCTTGAGAGCTTGGAAATAGTGGAGCTGGGATTTGGACCCAGGCAATCTCTCTGCGAAATAAGGGGTGCTTCCTCACTGGGTCACAGGCCGTGACAGCTGGAACCACAGTAAGGACACAGAAGGCTTCAAACTATAGGAAGCTAAACCCACTGAACAAAATGCAAGAGGTCATATGGCAATCTTGCACTATGCTCTGTTGATCCATAATTCAAGCTTCAGATTCGGGTTATACCGAAATAACATTTTTTATCTTTAATTATCCCTTTGGCCAATAGGTGGCACTAAATAACAATGTGTTAAGAGAAATACCAAAAAAAACAAAAAAACAAAAAAAAATGCACAACTGTTATTGTTCCACTGCTCACCTTAACTTTGAAAGAAAATAATGAGAATGTTGCACAACAGCAAGATTTAAATAAAAATATAGCAAAGGGAAGTAAGTAAATACTTCCTAAGTAGTCCCCGGTTCAAATTTTATTGGTAAGATTTTTTTTTTCTATTTACAGTTGTATGTTTTTTTCTTCTAAAGCTTTAATAGCTGTATCTCTAAAAGCTATGCACTCCTATTTTGGTAGTTAACGTACGGTATTTTCTGAGAGTAAAAATCTGTGGCTTCCTCGATAAAAAACAATGGCTTAACCAAGTGGAACCCCATCACTCTGCTCTGTAAAAGCAGTTACTCAATAAATGTTTATTTAAGCAATTTAAATGGAACTGAATGTTCCTCCAATTTGAAAGTCATCTGGACCAGAATTAGTGAAAAGTACCAGGCAGTTGGTTTTTTCCCCCAACACATGATTTTTATGTTCCAATAAACCTATTGCCACAGAAATCCCCTGCTTCTCCAGTTTGAAATTCAAATATGAAGATTTAAAACGGCAGCCTTCTTCACTGATCTTAGCTGTTTTGAAATTGTACAGGGGAAGCAAAAGCCACCTCCACGGTGATGGAGCTCAAACCCATTGAACTCGAAGCCCATTGCGAGGGCAGAATGTAAACCTCCATAGACTTTTGAGGCAGGACAACTGAAGTATAAGATTAAGATCCAGGAACATGACGGCTGAGTGTCTCTTGATAATACGTGTGTGGCCTGCATGAAAGTATCACAAATCATGTCTGAGACTCGGAGCCAGGCTCTCCCTGGCCTTCCAGACCCCACCCGGATCCCCCTCTTCCCCTCTGTGCTCCAGCGGAGAGTGCCGCTTACGGGTCAGCGGGGATTATCAACAGCCAACTTCCCCCCAAACCTCTTCACTCTGTCCTTTTGCTCTCCACGCTCTAGATAATAATCTTTAATTTGGTCATCAATGGAAACCACAAGGAAAACGCTCTCTATGCCTGAGCTTACAGGATTCTCTGCTGACAGCCACCCGGCCACGCCCTTCATGTCCCCACCCTTCCTTCACTCTTCTTCAGAAACTGCTGATCAGAATAACCTCCAGTGACTGATTTTCTCTCGCAGTATCCTAAAGACCAGGGCAAAACTGTGTGGGCTAGAGGCAGCTATCATCCCCAGCGGAGACGCCCTGTGGGTGTCCGGCACGCATGCGGCACCATGGGGCAGCCTTGCGCACCCGCGCCTGCTGGTGTGGAGCCTCAGAGCGATGTCGCACGACAGGGTCTAGGCTGAATGGCTTTCCTATTCAGCTCACGCCACGTCTCTCCTTTCAGGGACCACCTAACGAAGCTTCCTTTCACCCCACCTTGCGCTGAATTTCAAGCCTTCTACTGAAGGCTCCACCATCAAGGATGCTCTAAGGCTCTCATCTCCTTAATCAGACTTTTCTTTCATGCAGGAAGTACGGGCCCATCTCTGGAATGTATAAAATTTCACTAAACCCCTATGATGTTATAAAGATTTACAGTCAATTCAGAAGTTTATCCAACACTTGTATTTAATTCCCACACGTATACTTGGGCACTGTGCAAAAATGGACTGGGTAATTTTCGGGAATGCTTTGGACACCAAACAATATTCATGAGGATTGTAATTTAGAGAGAAACAACAAAAAAAGCATAATTGACATGAAGTTCAAGCCATACTCAACCCTGCGAAATATTATTTCACAAGACTAGAAATCACTTATTTTATGATTTATGAATAAAATAAACACGTGGGGCGCCTGGGTGGCTCAGTTGGTTAAGTGACTGCCTTCGGCTCAGGTCATGAGCCTGGAGTCCCGGGATCGAGTCCCACATCGGGCTCCGTGCTCGGCAAGGAGTCTGCTTCTCCCTCTGACCCTTTTCCCTCTCGTGCTCTCTATCTCTCATTCTCTCTCTCTCAAATAAATAAATAAAATCTTTAAAAAAAAACAAACACGTGAATTAGAAATAGTTGTACTTGAAATTTGCATGGATATCATAATATTGATTCCCAGATGCTAACTGATTTGGAAGAGTTATATCTAGCTAAAGAAATGCAACTTAGTATGTATTCACTTAAGCTAAAATGCAAAGCCAATTTACATAAAGTAATCTAGAAAGCAGTTTAGAAATTACACAGCCTGCTCTTTCACAAAGGATCATTTTAATAAATGATTGCTTTAGTCTAAATTTACATTGGAGACTATTGTTCCTTGTCAGTATGATTAGGCCAACAGATCCCATCATTCTATTAGTTAACCTAAGTCTATTTTATAACCATGTTGTTCTATAAATTCTCGAATTCTTATGTGTCAGTAGTACGTATCTGACAATATCTGAACAAAGATAATTTATGCTATTCTACCCAGTTCGACCCAAAATGTTAAATTATTTTGAGCTGTGCGGTAGAATTATGCAGGTTCTCAGTATATAGTTTGAGCTTAATAAATGGTTATGAATTAGAGTCATTAATGAACACATATGTCACCAGAGATATGCTGCAGAACTGATTTATTGTACATTCTTCACAAAGAGAAAAATCTCCAGAATCGGGCGTAGGTTTGGGAATCCAGAAGAGCAGATTTAATTTTTTAAAGACCTCTTTTTCAAAAGTAGAAAATAGGAGGAAATTACGTTGATCTATCGATTAAATAGAAGTCCCTCTCATTTCTAAATGAGGAATCGCGTACTAACATGTCCAGAATATTCCCTTGTGAACACCACCATGGCAGAAATAACTCTGGCCTGCAGCTACAAGTCAAAAAGGCAGGGACAGAAAACCAAACACAAATAGCACAATTCTCTCGGGGTGATGGGTTTCTAGATCTTCAATGTTTGAACTTTCAGAGGGTACCATTTTAGGGAATAATCTAAGCTAACAGCAACTGTTTTTATTCCGATGTCATCAGACATTTTCAAATATCAAATTGCCGAATGAAATGCAGGTGTCTTTCTGCAAATGCGTGCACAGCAAGTTTTGTGTAGGGGAGATTCTAGAGGGGCAAGGTGTGCACCTGCCAAACCTCACTGTGAAATGCACACTGAGAGAGAGGGTGCCGGGGCAACACGGCCAATGGTGTGTATCCTCACACACACGCAGTAAAATTTATAGGGTCCTGAAGACATACAAATGGTGTATCCACATTAAATTCATTTGATATTATTAAAGTATATCAATTTAGGTAATTTGGAATAATTAACTGTATCTTAGGTGTGCCAGAAATACTTACAGGTACCTTACGCATGCCCTCATTCATCTGCTACCTGGAAACTGATCTCCTACTATGTGGCAGGCTCTAAGATGGTGCCTCTGAATTCAAATGACATGCACATGGCAGCTACTTAAGGTTATTGTTGAATAAATGACTAAGTGACAGGGGCACCATGGCCCAGTCGGGGGGATGTGCGTTCAAAGGTGGCTTTGGCAAGATTAAGGGAAGAGGGAACCTCTAGGGGGCGGGAGAAGAAAACAGCAGCTGGTGTGATTGATGGGATACTGTGATCCTGGGGGAACCCCGGAGCGGCTGGCCTCAAAGCAAAAGCCAGTTTCCAGCATGGAAATAACAAAGTGATTGTGCCATTTATTTGATGGGTGACCTGGAAGGAAATGCTGGAGAAATGTGCGAGCCCGTGCATTCATCTCTGGCCATGTCTTAGGGGCACACGGTGGGATGTCCAGGAGGCTGCTGGGCAGGAGTCTACACGGTAAGAAGGGGGTCAGGTGGGGTTAGGACAGGGCGTGACACACACAGAAGGGACCAAGTCCTGGGACCACTGAGCACAAGCAAGCACAGAGTGTAGGACCCACGGCCCCTCAAGTAATGGGGTGCATGTAAGAGAACAATCATCATGCACTTGCATTATTCTAGAGTTATTTCCTATAAAATGACGAAATTGGAGGGTTAGCCCTACAGATGGAGACCCCCAGAGCAGCACACTTCTAAGTTCTGACCGTTTTCCTGATTGGTTATTGATCATCTCTCTCTGTCTGTTCCCACCCCCTAGGGGTTCCCAAGCACTCATTGCAAGATCTTTCTAGCAGTTCCCGAGTTGGTTCCTCCAGTCTACTGTGCCAGGGAAAACCTTTTAACAAAACTTAACAGAACCGTGTAAGAACAAGAGACAAGCACCTGCATGTGTGTCCTTGGGTAAAATTTCTGAGTTTTTCTGACCTTTATCTTAGCTGCTCAGAGGACTTTCTGGTTCTTCCTTGAATCCTGACAATATTTTAGGTGGATGAAGGAACACAATGAGGTGTCTTCATATAAAAGCAAGTGTTACTGAATGTAACTTAAAATCAGTTCTAAACTGGGTAAGGGGAGTCAAAAGGCACAAAGTCCCAGTTATAAGTAAGTACTGTAGATCTAACGCACAGCATGGCGACCACAGTGACCAACAATGCTCTGTGTGTTTGAAAGATGCTAAGCGAGCAAAACTTCAAAGTTCTCAGCACAAGAAAAAAAAAATTTAACTATGTGTAGTGATGTATGTTAATTAAACTTACTGTGGTGATCATTTTGTAATCCATACACATATCCAATCATATGTTGCATGCCTAAGACTAACACAATGTTGTATATCAAAAAAAATCAATATTGGGGGTGAAGGTGTATTACCTGTCCATCAATGTCATTAACATTTCCTGTTATCAATTCTTTTAAATACATTGAAAACTTTATTATCAGCTCTCAGTGATCCCCCAAAAATAGGTGCTTATCGGGCCAAATCCCTCAAAAGAATCTACACACCAAAGGGGCACTTTTTAGGTGAACAACAACAATCTATTACATGTTTTCAATCCAACTGTTCTGAGCAAATATAAAAAGAGTATGTTCAAAGTATTTGAAAATATGTACAAAAAAATAAACCTTCACTTGAGCATTAATTTGCACCAATCTTTTTTTCCTTTGTTTCTACAAACTTTGACTGATTTATGGTCAAACTATGGTCTTACTATGATTTCTCCTTTTATTTGTAAACTACAGGTTTCTTGACTCAACATATTGTCCAACCCAAACAAGAAACTTACATGTTTAAATTTGGAATCAAACATAGGTCTGCTGGAGCCAGACCTGCAGATGAGGTGTCTCATTATTTGTTTGCTGGCTTCAGACTTGCCCGATCCTCTTTCTCCACTAAAAGAAAACAGAGAGAGAAAACCTAAGTTTACTGTTTTGGAGAATGTAGTAAACGATCCAATGAGCAGAGTAATCCTCAGATACAAAGATGGTGAGGGAATGACAGAACCATTAATGCATGTATGGCATCATCTAACTCTTCCCTTTGATTGGTTCATCCGAAATATTTAGTACATATGTACTATGTCACATGCCCTATGGTGGTGTTCTAGATGCTGGGACGACGTATGAATTTAACGCCAATGTCCCTAAATGCTGGGACATCATATCAATGGGATGCGAGTCTGCCACCCAATGTCTCACAGGGTAGAACCGCACACGTAGGTGAATTACAGTAGAAAGAGGTCAGGCTGAAAAGAAAGACAACAACGACTTGTCCTCAGCTTCGTAAATGAAGGTAAGTGACGTGGCCCCCAGGGGACAGCCGCTAAGGTGGGGATGCGTGTGTCCTAGAGCTACACCACATGACCTTGTTAAATCTTTCTGAGCCTTCCAGGAAAGACATTACAACTTCCTCGGGAGACCCATGAAATCTTTCTAAGCTTCCCTTGTCTTCTCTTCAAAATGAACATAAAGCAAGCAACCCCTGAAACTAAGTTGTTAAGATGGTCAGATGTGACCAGGTAAAGTAAGGTGCCTGGAACAAGGCGGACCCTCCAATGGCCAGTTGCCTCTTGGGGCTGCTCTCAGTCTGACATTCTGTGTGTTCAGTTTTCCTTCAATCTAGGAACAAACGAACACTCACCAAACTTGTTATTTATAATGACAGTACTTTTGATATTTCTCAGGCATACTTCATAACTCATCTAATTTCTTTTTTAAAAAAGATTTTCATTTATTTATTTTAGAGAGAGAAAGAATGTGTGTGCATGCACACCTGTGCAAGCAGGGAGGGGGGCAGAGGGAGAGAGAGAATCTCAAGCAGACTCCCTGCTGAGCGTGGAGCCTGACTTGGGGATGGACCTCAGGACCCTGAGATCATGAGCTGAGCCGAAACCAAGAGTCAGACGCTTAACCAACTGAGCCACCCAAGTGCCCCATAACTCATCTAATTTCTATAAATAATAACTGTATTACATTTCTGACATGAGAAGATTAACATAGAAACCCAATACAGTAATTACTGATATAAAATAATGTTCTTACTGCTTCCAGATAAAATGCTCATGAAAACAGTCTTCATTCATGAAAAAGTCTTTATTCATCTGATAGCTTAAAAATTAAAAAAATATATAAAGCTCTTTACTAGTGCTGATTTCTCAGGCTTCTCCCTTGATATTCGTACTAATGAATTTGATTAAAGGATGTTTGCCAGAAAAGAAGAAGCCGAAATTTGGTTCTTTTATTCAAGTCTCAAGTTGTTAAGAAATGCTTTTCTATTCCCCTCATCTACACTCCCCATAAATACTTTAACAACGTTTGGAACAACTACCCTAGCAGCCTCAGGGAAGCAGGTGACAGAGACCTGCACAGGATAAGGAGCTCCTTTTCTGGGTTCAAAGACATTTGCTTTTAACCTTCTCATTTCAGGGAAGAAACAATTTAGCTCTTTCATGATGGAAATTTAACATCTACACTTGTATTCGCTGTTATAAAAATTCTCTTAATTCTCTTACAGAATAACTGGATGTTTCTTAAATCTTGTTTTTGTAGAGATTCTGTTCACAGCGAACAAGGTGCCCACAGGTGAAGGAGCAGTGTGCCCAGAGGTGGAAGAAACCAGGGAAGACTTCCCCATGAGGTGGGGGTTGAGCTGAGTCTTGGAGAAGGGGTAGCGTGGAAGGCAGTGATTATTCAACAAGAAATTCTCAACCAGTACTTCCCGAGCATGTACTATGCAACCTGAAACAGGGGGTGAGTCTTACAAGGTGGACGAGGCCAGCAGTCTGTGGACATGAAGACCCCAGAGACCTGTAAGGGTGCGCGGCTGAGCTGCCTCCCCTCCCCCCACCATGGCGCTCACTCTATCAGGACATGTAGGAATAGAGAAAATGATCATCAGTTCTCTTAGCTGGCTAAAATCCCATGCATTTTAACCATATCATAAAATCTCAAAATGGCCATATTCCATTTAAACTCTGAGTAAAATACAAGGAAATAAAAGAAAAAAAATGACATGGGATATGTTAGGATAGGGTTGACTCTACAGGCTATCACATTAAAACTAAAAATCCTAGCTCAGTGTGTTCAAGAAACATTCCTTGATCTGCAAATCCAGACTGTGATCCAATTAGAAATTGACCAGAGATTTTGGGTGGTGCCAATCAGGGACCCATAAGAATTTTGAAACTTATTTGATCAGTCTTGTCTGCTAAATCTGCACGTGATAAGGGCAGACCCTAGGCTGCGTATTTCACAAGTTACTTGTATGTTCAGCATGTAACATTAATTTAGATTTGCTCCACACACTGTTAGGATAATGGATTTTTGTCACATGTGCTCTAACAATTAATTAAAACCATCTATCAGGGCCCTCAGAAAATTAAAGATAAGATAGATGACGGTGAACACCAAACTCTCAGTTATAACCCAGGACCAAGATCTGAAAATTATTAAAAACTATTCCTCAAGATGAAGCCTAGGGTGCTAGTGGGGCCTAAATTATCAACAAAGTGAAAAATAAAATTAAAATTTGAAAATAAAATTTAAAAAGTCCCACCCTCGTCCTAAGTTACAGGATGACTATGCCAGAGATATTTGTGTTTTGAACTCCAAGTCTTAAATTATCCTTTGTAAATGCTGGTTGTAAGACAGAATAGACTCTCTTGAGGCGCCTGGGTGGCTCAGTCAGTTAAACTCTTGGTTTTGGCTCAGGTCGTGATCTCAGGGTCGTGAGATGGAGCCCCACGTAGGGCTCTGCGCTCCCTGAGGAGTCTGCTCAAGACTCTCTTTCCCTCTCCCTGGGCCTCTCCCTCCTGCTCTCTCTCAAAAATAAATAAATCTTTTAAAGACACAACAGACTCTCAAAAATGATCTTTAAACAATGTATTTAGCTGACTTCTAAATTTACTAATTTTAATGAATTAGTATAATAAATGCAGAAAACCTTTATCTTAGTCAAGACAATTGAGATAGAGAAGCCACATAAAAACATCAATCCTGAAAGAAGAAAGAGAATGACTAAAATAATAAGCCCTTGTGATCACAGATTTGTTCTTCATTTCTTGAAACCTGAACAAGTAATTTTTTTTAAGAAAAACTGGTTGATACATGCATGGCATTATTAGCCTTTAAAAATGCCCCAAAGAAATACTGCTTCTGCAGAATATTAACAAGTCCTACTGGAAAAGCAATTCCATGGGCAAATTCATGTAGAAAGCGCTGGGTTACAGATGAACAGGTTTATTTACTGAAAGAACTTGCTAGATACTGTGAAATTTATAACAGGCAGATTCCCAAAGGATACAATTCACCGGCAACTCAGAACTTTGCTATGGACCAATGTCTTTCAAAAGAATTGAGTGGATTCAATAAGAATTTAGGAAAATCCGCGGATCTGTGGCCATCATTTTAGGGAAGCCCGGGTGGGCCGCTGGAAACCTCCTTGGGGTAGCCGCAGGGGGCCGGCCATGCACTGATGGGTAAGCTTCATTCAGGCCCAGAAGCCAGACTATGGGCTCCCATCCCACATATAGCATCCACTGGACTCCACACTAATTAATCACCATTTACTAATTCACATTATGGGGCTCACATCCCAGATTCACTATTCACTAATTGGAGACCCTAGACTAATGAGTTCCTCCTCCTAATACACAGTCACCTGACACATAAAATCATGATGCTAATAATAATACCAACCTTCTAAGATTGCTAAAGCAGTGGGTAAGGGAATACGTGGAAAGCATCTGGTGGAGGGTCTGGCACTTACGAAGTTCTCAATAAACGTCAGTTGTTATTACGACCACACTAGGACACATGCCCCACAGTCTCATGATTTTTTTTAAAAGTGTTCCCCTTTCTGGTCAAAGTTAGACTAGACAATTGGACAGATAAAGCAGATGAAAACACAGTTGCTTGATTCAAGAACGGCTGGGGCCACCCTGCCTCCAGAGCCTCTCCTACCCCGGGGGACTCTTCAGAACAAGGGTTGAAAACACCAGTTGCTCACAATTTTGAAAACCAGAACACTGACGTTTGCAAGCCATCTACCTGACCCTCTCTGGAACTTTTTGATCAAATTGATAATGTAACAGTGTATAAATAAGTGCTTACTTAAGTATTTAAATGTCTTTTGGGGGCACCTGGGTGGCTCAATCGTTAAGCATCTGCCTTCAGCTCAGGTCATGATCCCAGGGTCCTGGGATCGAGCCCCGCATCGGGCTCCCTGCTCAGCGGGGAGTCCGCTTCCCCCTCTCCCAACCCCCCTGCTTGTGTTCCTGCTCTCACTTTGTCTCTCTCTGTCGAGTAAATAAATAAAATCTTTTAAAACAATAAATAAATGTCTTTTGGGTTCTACCCAGGTGTCCATGTGTCCTGTCTTTCATTTCACTTTGATGAGTTGGGCAAAGCTTTATTTTTATTTTTATTTTTTTTAAAGATTTTATTTATTTATTTGAAGAGAGAGACAGTGAGAGCAGGAACACAAGCAGGGGGAGTGGGAGAGGGAGAAGCAGGCTTCCCGCTGAGCAGGGAGACCGATGTGGGACTCGATCCCAGGACCCTGGGATCATGACCTGAGCTGAAGGCAGACCCTTAACGACTGAGCTACCCAGGCGCCCTGGGCAAAGCTTTATTGACAACATTCAGTTGCAGCCAACACTACTGATTATAACTCGGGCCAAGCCTTGAGGATTTACAGAAGTCCCCTCTGGTAGAGGTTGCTCCTAATACAAAACGTAATTCTCAATGCAGATCTTATATTAACACCAAAATAATTCTTTAATCCTTTATCAATACAGAATCACATTTCACCACTACGTCTTGCAGTTCATGTGTGTGTGTGCGTGCGTGCGTGCGTGTGTTTGCTCCAATGTGAATCACTGTCCTGAGCTTCTTGCTATTTATGAGCTAATGTTACCATGATATTTCAGTATAAAATACCGGGTGTACACTTTTGGTAAAATATGAGCAGAGGTAAATAGCTAGAAGCAGGTGAGAAAATCCACAATTATAGGGTAATAATTTGTATTTTGGACCGCACCACACAGTGGGCGCTAATAGTGGGTGCCTTTCTTTCCCGGTGATTCCTGAGGTTTGAAAGCAAAAGCACTCTGGTCCTAAGTAGTAAATCTTCAAAATGAATTGAGTTTCAGGTTAAGTGTGTTGATATTGATTCCACCACACTTGGGGCTATTCCTAAGAACAGAGATGTTTCTCCTTGGTAACGAGTCAAATTACTTATTGCAAAGACACGCTGGACGGCCAAGTGCTGAGGAAGTCAATAAACATGAACCATAGGAAAGGAGGAGGGTCTCAGGCCCAAGCCCCCAGCGCATCAGCGCATCATCAGCGGGTGGGCGAGCAAGGGGCGGGCTCACCTGAGAATGAAGCACTGGGGCCGCTGCTCCTGGAAAAGCTGGTGAAAGGCTCTCTCGGCGCAGGAGAAGATGTGAGGCGGCAGGGAGGAGGAGCAGGGCTGCCCCGTGCTGTTGAGGTATAGCTGAGACACCTGCCAAGCAGTGCGGGAGACAGGGAGACAGACATCCGTGAGAAGGTGCAGGCTCCCCCGCCTCAGGGCACAGCTGCCTTATTTCCAGTATCCAAACGCCAGGGAAGCTCCATGTCTGAGACTCATTTGTAACTACAAAACGCCTGGGGAATTATGCCCTTTGCAGCACATTTTGAGCATTCACAATGATAAAATAGAGGCAGGTGTCTGATCCCTCATTACTTGGTTCACAGGCTTGAAATTATTCTGCTGTCCTTAAGCAGAGCATCCCACACACATCCAGTTTGATAGAAACTCGTGAAGTAAGCTGAACCCGCGGGGATTTACATCACACACAATGTCGCTCAGCAACATTTCATTTCGGTAACATAAGACAGAAAGGATTTTTAGTCTGAGTAGAAAGCACCTGCAGCTGAAACACAGAACTTACAAACTTCTCAGAAAAACAAAAATGAACTTAATTTCAGTGACACAGTGATTTATGAGGATGGCCATGGTGCCAGTACGTTTAGTCCTTTTGAGTTTCTAGTAAATTCTGTTATATTAGAATAAACACTGAATGATAGGGAGATGTCTGAGTCATGAAGAAATATCAGACCAACTTAATTTTTCTTTTACAAAGTGACTGGCCTGTAGCTTCAAGGCCGTCAAGGGTGGAAAGCTCATCAGAAGATGGAGGAAAGTGTCCAGACAAGGTGAAAGTGCACCCATCCTGCCACGGCGGCCTGGGTCTTTGGCTCTGTGGGCATTAGTGGGGCGATGGGAAAGACCTGAGTGAGGCATCATCTTGACTGGATGGTCACAGTGCATCAGGAGCAGTTTCCTGATTCCAGGTGTGGTATGGAGGTTACACACTGAACGCACAATGCACGTATTCAGGGCTGATGGGACAGCATACCAGCAAGTCATTTGAAAATGGTTGGGGAAAAAGGTAGTTTGTGCTATTTATCTGCAAATTTTTCATATGTTTGAAGTCATTTAAAATCATAAGGGAAATAATTCTTTTCATAGAATAAATGACCTACAGCTATAAAAAAATAATTGGATGAATCTCACAAACATAATGTTGAGTGGAATCTCTCAGACACACGAGAGAACATTCAATAAGATAAAGTATAAAACCAGGTAAAACTAAGCCACACCGTAGAAGTCAAGTCGGTGGTGCCTTGGCCAAGGTGCTGGTGATCGCAGAGGGGTGAGAGCAGGGCTTCTGGAGTGCAGGAAATGCTCTGGACCTGAGGGCTCGTGAAAATTTACCCATCAGGACACTTAGAAACCCATGTTCGCTGCATCTCAATAAAAACTCCAGAAAGCCAAAATCCTTAAATACCGTGGTCCTGGTGCAGACATCAGAAGAAAAGATCACGTGGACAAACTAGAGAACTCAACCTAAGTCCACACATGGGTGTGGATTTGGGGTACGAAAGGGGGCTGTTTCATGCATTAGTCATAAAGAATGGGCTGATTATTAGCAAAGGAAACGAATGCTGATCTTTATCTCATGCCATGTGTAAAAATGAATTCTAGATGAATTTAAGTCCCAAGTATAAATAGCAAAGCATAAAACATTTACACAAGTAAACAGAATAATACTCTCATGATTTTGGAATAAGGAAATAGGGTTCCCAAACACAAATTATAATGGGAAGGATGAATCAATATCAAAATAGTACATTTGACAATTGCTGTTCGACCACAAGCATCATACATACAATAATGTGATAAAAATCAAAGATAGAGAGGAGATTAAGCTGTGTGTATTATCAGTACATTAACAGTGTCTTATAAACGACTCCAACAAATAAATAAGACTGGAAATAAAAAAGAAAATTGGACAAGGAATATAAACAGAAAAGAATAACCAATAAATATGAGAAAAGAAGCAGAAACTCTGGTAAGCAGGAAAATGCCATTTCAAATAGGAAGGTGACAGATATAAAATACTAGTAACTTTATCAATGGTTTAATAATAATAATAATGGCTAACACTTGTTATGCGCTTGCTACTGTTCTAAGCACTTCGTATTCATCCAATTCTCCTAGAAATCTATTACTTGGGTATGAGAATGATCTTCCTTTTTACGAGTGAGGAAACTGAAGCAATGAAGTTAGTAATCGGTCAAAGGTCACAGAGCTAATTAGTGGTGGAGCTTGGTTTCAAAAGGAAGTTTCCTCCAGCACAAGAAAAACGCACCTGCACTATGGAGAGTTGTTCTAACTCGAACAGTGACTTGGTAACAACTTCTAAACTTAAGGTGGGCTTGACCAGGACTCTCTCTGAAGAAACTCTCGAACATTAGCAAAAGGCACACATGAAACGGTTCTTAGCCTCTTTGTAAGAGCAGAAAACACGCCAATAATTTAAAAATCAGTATAGGGTTTAATGGATGAATATAAAGGATTGTGTTGTAATATGATAAAATACTATAGGGCATTTAGAATAAATTATCAAGACCTGAAACTATCAACATAAAAAAGTACAATGGCTAATGAAGATTTGTTTTGTAAAAGGATATATTTAATATATGTGAATATATCAGCAATATATCTGAGTGAATTAAAATGGAAAATAATGGCATTTGAAGTTTTTTTTTTCACATGTACAGTAGTTCCCCCCACCCTTTACCCATGTGGTCTATGTTCCAGGACTCCCAGGGACTGCCCAAAACCACAGAGAATACCGAACCCTATATACACTATGTATTTTCTTTTATATACTTAACTATGATAAAGTTTAATTTATAAATTAAGCCCAGTAAGAGATTACCAAGGATAACTAATAATGAAATAGAACACTTATAACAATATACTGTAATAAAAGTTGTACAAGTGTGGTTTCTCTGTCTCTCTCAAAATACCTTCTCTTCCTGTATACACCCTTCTTCTTGTGATAATGAAAGATGATCAATTGTCTACATGATGAGATGAAGTGGAATGAGTGACACAGGCATGTGACGCAGGCTTCTGATGTGATGCTACATCAGAAGGAAGATCCTTCCCCAGTTGACCCTGACCTCGGGTAACTGAGACCATGGAAAGCAAAACCATAGGTAAGTGGGACAACCGTATGTGCCTATGTATAGCGAACATATGAAAGACTGGATGAGGGGCGCCTGGGTGGCTCAGTCATTTAAGCGTCTGCCTTCGGCTCAGGTCATGATCCGAGGGTCCTGGGATTGAGCCCCGCATTGGGCTCCCTGCTCCGCGGGGAGTCTGCTTCTCCCTCTGCCTCTGCCCCTCCCCCTGCTCGTGCACACGTGCACATGCACTCTCTCTCTCTCTCTCAAATAAAAAAATAAAATAAAATCTCTAAAAAAAATGATTGGATGAAAGGATAATAGTTTCGGGAGAGTGGTTGTCTTTGCTTTTGAAAAGGAATTTGCCTGTGTTCATAGCACACCACACCAGCTAATCTAAGACACCATATAATTAAAACAAAGCTTTATTTTCTGTTCTATGCAGAAAACAAATGTTACAATTGAAGTAGGGCATGATGTGTTCTTAGCACATCTTTATAGTTGCATCCCAATCTCAGGAGTGTATGTGAACAAATGGGACTTCTTTATTTGAAATAGTTTTCAGAGTTTTGTATTTTTAATTATTCCAGAATTTAAAATGGACACCAAAAGGATTAATGAGAGCGACATATACATTATAATTCATAAACCAACCAGGGAGTTCTAGCCCAGCTCTATTTTCTTGCAGGACAAATTTCTGTTCCTTTTGAACACTTGCACTAACACTATTTCATGTCCCAAGTCCAACACCGGCCTAATCAAATTTTAACAGAATGCTTTTAAACTCCATCTGTAAAATCCTGCTGAGAATTTCATTAGATATTTACAAACAAGGCAAGACAGAAGAGAGCCAGGAGCATATGTGACTCCTACTCTGCTTCTTCAAACCTCCTCAGGGTCACATCTTCTCTTAAGGCCAAGTTTTACTAGACTTTAGATGTGTAAGGGATCTTGGGTGTCTACGTTTTTTCATGATAATCAAACTAACATTTCTCAGATCCCTTCTCTTAAAAGCCCTCTCCTTTCCATACAGTGTCAGACTTTATGTTGTAGACTATTCCATTGCTATCCCCTGGTAATACTTAGCCCGATGCTGATTCTAGGCTTTATAAGTAATATAAATACAAAATAATAATGCTAATAGTGCATTTAATAAAGATAATAATCAATTCTACTCAATTATTTCTGTTGAAGCTTGAAGATCTTCACTTAGGCAGTTCCAGTTTCTGACAGGCCATGTAACCTTCAGACTGGTTATCATTCATTGCCACTGTCATTTTCATTATTAATATTATTGGATGTTCCCACTGGGTCCAGCAAATACCGTCAGCAATAGCCACTCCCTCCCACATGCCTTGTCTCTCCCCTTCACCTTATTCTCTCCCCATGTGCATCATCTGGGAATGAAAGGATTCTGGTCACTGGTAATTTTAAGTGCTCGATTGGAACCCATGGGTGAGACGACATCACATCAACCTCATTCATGGGTACCTCCCTTTGCTGGATTCTGCTTCCAGTGAAGAAGGTCCTCTTTCCAGCCCCACTCGTCCAGAGGTAACACACTCTGCTCAGTCACCCCAGCTACTCACCAAACTCAAACATGCAGTGGGAATATTAGACCAACAGCAAACAGAATCTGAAAATTAAACAAAGCCCTAAGCCTGACATGCCACACTAGGTGCCATTTTACATAGTGGGAGAGCCTAATCTCACCGCCAATAGAGGACAAAGAGAAAGTGGGTACTGATCATCTCTGTGTCCTTGAGTACTGAAAAATATAACCTTGAGAAATTATCTCCAGATCTTTTATCTGGAATGGCATCATTATTTTGCACACTGAGGTTTCCAAGTGATATATCTTTGGTTTGTGAAGTCCATAGTAAAGGGAACAGTGAGAAATATCTAAGACAAGTCTGACACAGATGTTTGAGGGGGCCAATGCGTAGTTATGGCTGAAGTGTCCATTCTCATGACATTCACGTGTTCACTGGTTTCCACAATAATACAAACACCATGCTGTTTGTCCTTTCTAATTACTACCTCGACAATGCATTAGACCTGGGTTCTTTTAAGGATTTTATTTATTTATTTATTTATTTATTTGAGAGAGAGAGAGAGAGAGAGAGAGCACGTACAATGAGCAGGGGGAGGGGCAGAGGGAGAGGGAGAAGCAGACTCCCCGCGGAGCAGAGAGCCCGATGTGGGGCTCGATCCCAGGACCCTGAGATCATGACCTGAGCCAAAGGCAGATGCATAACCAACTGAGCCCCCCAGGCGCCCCTAGACCTGGTTCTTTAGTGGCTGCCATCTGCCCTGTCATTGTGGTCCCCCAACCCCTCTTCCCTTCCCTTCCCCCCCTTCCCTATCTTCTTCCTCTACCTCCTCCTCCTGCTCCTTCATGGCTTTCTACTATTTTTCTACCTTATTCTTAAACTTGGTATGAATCTAGAAATCTTATAAAATGAAATATCTATGTGAATTATTCCTAATCTTGCATCCAAGGTAGAGCCTCAACATTATTTCAATTTAACCTCCAAAAACTTTGTACATTCACCTGAACCTGGTTTTTCATCAATTTTTCTCTTCTTTCATTTTCTTTTTTGTTATAGATTCTCCTAGACCCACAAATTCAAAACCTGTATCTTCAAGGGATGCTCTTCTCTTATTTGTTCCTTAAATGAAATTCTCTGCAGGTTCTTCTTACTGTCTTTTCACAGACCCACTCAACTTCTGCCCATTACCACCAGAGCCCCCACACTAGGCTTGCTCTTGGATTATTTCAGTACCTACTAACTCATCTTCTTGCCTAAATGTCTCTTTTTCTCACACTGATGGTGACAGACTTATAAACACTATTTGTATCAGACTTGTTTGTTTCTCGTGGGTCTTTATTTTCTAAAATTAAAACCCAAACTCTCTAACTTAGCTTTATAGTCTAGATCTAAACCAGACTTTCAACTCTTTAACTTTTTGAACTTCTGCTCTTATAGGATTAGTCTATGCCTTCTTCTCAATGATCCTATATTTTTTGTCCCCATAATGTGTGTCTAGACAATTCTCCAAAGTATACCTCCTCTCCCCTTACCAGAGTCTTACTCATTCCTTGGGATTTGCACCAATCACATTGCTTTTCCAACTAATGCCTTTCTCAACTTGGTAAGATTTCCTTCCCTCCAAACTCCTGACTTGTCAATTAATAGTGTACATTCTCAATATAGCTATCTTACTGTCCTCAGCTACAAGTGAAGTCTGTGATTATTTTTTATCATTACTTATGTATTATCTCTAGAATGTCAATGCGGTTTTTAAGGATGAGGAGACTCTTAGCATCCCCAAATACCTAACATAACATATTGTGTTTAATAGACTCAGTAAATGTTTCTTGGTTTGATGAAGCATTCTTGCTCCCGATTACAACACTGCTCCTTTTGCAAAGCCTTTTCAGAAAGATCTGGCTACTTTGCTATTTTCTCCCTCTCCCCTACCTCTTATGGGTTTAAAATGAGCAACGTCACTTGGCTTCAACATAAATGGGCAGCACAATAGTAAGAAACCCCCCCTCTGCTGGTTATACTTCATTTAGAACCATCTGCCTACTGGCCCCTACTGGTGCCACTCCTCCCCAGTGACTGTTCACATCACCTTAACATTGCTTATGGCCGCAAACCACCTCAGGGACAGGGCTGCTTGCTGCCATGTGTCTGTGTTAGTCTCAAGATGCAGTTCAATACAGAGGGCTCTACACCCATGACTAATGGCCTCCTGGAAATAAGAAATGAATGTTATGTAAAGCTTAATATAACAGAGTTAATGGTAACAAAATTAAAGTGAGTTACAGATGATGCATGTGGATTTTTTTTCAACATGAAACACAGAAGTCATTCTCCTGGTCTATATAATCCTTATAGATATAATCATATTCAATGTTTTAGTTTCTTCTTTTATTCAACTAACGAGGGAAGAAACTAAACTCTCTGAACAGAATTTATTTAAGGTAATAAGCATATATATGATTATATAATCAATAAGCACAAAAATAAGTGAAACTTTCTCTTGCATGTCCATAGGACAATGAGGTAACTTGATGTGGTTCAGTACACAAGTAACTGATTTAAAATCGCAAGGTACTAAGATTGCTACAGAGGATAACCACTAATTCGGCCTAAAAATTAAACCTTATAGCTACCTAATATCTATAATTATATTATGAGTTATTGCTTGTAGCCCAGGAAAGTGCAAAGTATGTAATTCTACATAATGGAAGTGAATTCCAAAAGCACCAAACACAGTAAAATCCATTATGTCCTATAAAAAGTGGGCAGTTTTATTGTAAGTTTTTATCAGTGCATATTTTACCTAACTATATTTATTTTCCTCTCACATTTTATGTCAGAGTCCACTGGAGATGATGGATATAAAGGATGATACATATAAGTTATATGTTGCATTCACCATTTTATGTTTTAATGAACTGTTCATGCAAAAATCTCAGTGCATCATGTTTTATTCCTACATTAATAAAGAAATATGTCTCTTAATGTCTCTCCTTTTCTCTATTACATGTATTTCTGAAAGACCTGCAAATATAACACATTACTTGAAGCCATAAAACTGCCAAACTATTAACACCCTAAAAATGAAGAAACCACAAAATCATAGGTCTGTTCCATTTGAGATACAATATAACATGACAAGCCATGCCATACAAAAACAATTTATTATGGCACATTTTCCCTAATCCTTAGAATTTGACCTCTAGATCTATAGAAGCACTTTTATAATAGGTATATATGTATATATTTTAGTAATTATTTATTTATTTTTAATTTAATTTAATTTAACGTTATTATGTTAGTCACCATACATCATTAGTTTTTGATGTAGTGATCCACACTTCATTGTTTTCATATAACACCCCATGCTCCATGCAGTACGTGCCCTCCTTAATATGTAATTATTTAAAACTGGCTTTTGTCTCACCATAAGATTCTTACTGACTCTATGATCCAATGTAATACCATAAATATAAGCCAGAAACAACACATTAATATTCAGCTTTAAATAGCAGGAGTTCTCTCTCTCTCTCTATCTCTCTCTCTCTCTCTTAAATTGAAGAATAACGAACTTGGAAAGCATCAAAGATGCAGAAAACTCAGGCACCCTGGTGGCTTAGGCACCCTGTTAAGCGTCTGCCTTCAGCTCAGGTCATGATCCCTGGTCCTGGGATCGAACCCCACATTGGGCTCCCTGAGCAGGGAGCCTGCTTCTCCCTCTCCCTCTGCCTCTCCCCTCTGCCCATGCTCTCTCTTGCTATCTCTCTCTCTCAAATAAATAAAATCTTTAAAAAAAAAAGATGCAGAAAACTGTGTTTAAAGCAAAATTAAAAGCCCCCAATACTTATTTATACAAGGCAGAAAATTGACAACATAGCTATATAACTTAAATAACTATCAAATGAAACTCCAAGAACTTAGAAAGAAGGAGATGATAAAAAGAAAAAGCAGAAATCAATTGTATAGAGAATAAATTTACAGCAGAAAAAAAATTAAGTCAGGAAATGTTTTTCTTGGAAAAGATTAATACAATCAAGAAATTCCTAGCAAATTGATTTTAAAACGTCAGAGAAGGCACACATGATCAACATTGGGAACGAAAAGAAATCACTCAAAACTCTACAAACATTAAAAAAATAAATAGGACTCATGAATAATTATATGCCCCAGACTTTGGAAGATTAAATATAATGAACAGAATCCTTGTAAAACAAAATTATTTAAGAACTGACATAAAAAGAAATAAAAATCGAACAGTGCATATGTCTATTTGATCATCACAGGTCAGGTTAAACTCCTCTGATAAAACTCCTGAGATGACTGCAGGTGACTGCTCTTGCCTTGGTCCATCACGGGACCACACATTCAGGTTGCCCAAGGCTAAGGCTGGGATCCGCCTGAGTGGAGTGAGAACAGTGGGCAAGGTGCAGCAGTTTTAAAGCAACAGGGAAAGTCAGTTTGGTAAGTAGGGCGGAGGTTGGGGTAGTGAGTGGGCACTCTATTTTGCAGGTGGGGTTTCTATAAGAATTCTTCATTGATCCCTTGGGAGCTTAAAGAAGGTGTCCTCTCTCCCTTCCCCTCCTTCTCTCCTTCTCCCTCTTCTCCAACCTCTCTCCTACCACCTCCCCCTCCAACATTTAGGAGCATGTCCCTGCTTCAGAAGCACGTGTCCACTCCCCTTGCCTCTTTGTCATGCTCCTGCTCCAGATATGGGATTCTGCTTTCACTGGAACCAGCCTTGCGCTTACAAAAAAATAGAGAGCTTGCACGATGATATTCTTGATCTATTACTACTCGAAAGTCATGCTGTGTTTTCAGTTGCCTGGAATAATTTTCCAAAAGCAATTTCTCTGTTAATTTTGAGAATCTCATAATTAAAAGTGGAAGGTCATTTGGGAAAATGTACAAAATTCAACATTATCCTTTCTTATTCTCATTGTTTTAACATCATAGAACTTTTTTGAAAGAGGTCATGATGTTGAAATAAGGACCGTAAACCAACTGGTCTTGGATTAGTTAAAAGTATGGAAAGTAGAGTAATATATTATTTAATTTTAGAAGTCTGTCTAGTGACTACAATTGTAGGAAAATGACACATTCTAAGTGCAAAGGAATCTTTTGAGAAGAAAACGTTCTTTTCCATTTTTGTCTCAGAACAAATGAAAGTCATTATTATGCAAATTTCAATTTAGACTTCTCTGAGACGTTTGACTTTACTTATTGTTTTGGGGTTTCTTCTTAATCAATCATTTGATGCAAATAGGTATTTTAAATTTTATACTCACCATGGTGGAATAAATTGGAAGCTCCTTGAATGGGTTAACAAGCAAGAGGATGTCTCCAATAAAAGTCTGTTAAAAGAAAAGGATATAAATAGTTGGTGGACTATATAAATAGAACACTTAAAATTAAAAATGATATAACTTTAACATCATTGTATAAAATATAGAAAATAAATAAAAGCCATACATTAACATTTTGTGAACTGTTTTGAAAGTTTGTATATAAAGAAATAGGAAAGTCAAACTCAAATAAAATAAAACCAATAGGCTTGTTCCATTAAACACATAACAGATGAAATGACTGCATTCTAAGAATTGCTTTTCTTAAAGAGTTTTTTTGAGAATTAGATTGAATAAAAAAATATAAATTAAAACACATGGCAAAATATACTGGAGGAAATAAATGTGGTAATGAGTTCTATGCTGCTACAGAATAAGAATAAAATGCACAACTGAAAAACGAATAAAGCACAGAAAGCAAATAAAAATACTTTTGTAATAAAAAAAGGACAAGTTATGAGATGTAAAGGTACAAAAAACAGAATAAATACAAGTCAAATAATAAAATGATAGATTTAAACACCCCCAAAACCAGTAATTACATCAAATGCAAAGCTACTAAATAACCCTAAAGGACGAAGATTATGAACTAGATTAAAGTACTCTGTATAGATTAAGAAAATTTGGAAATAAAAAGATAAAACAAGATATACCTGAAAACAATGGTAACAGGAAAATGTGGTTTAGCAACACTCAATTCACACAAACAAAATAAATAAATAAATAAAACTGATGAAAAGGGACATTTCACAGTGATAAAATGTTAAATCAGGAAGATACAGCATTTAAAATTTCAGTGAGACTAAAATCTAGCACAAAATATACGAAGCAAAAACAGCTGTAAGGAGAAAAATTAATTCACAATGACAGTGGGGACTTTAAATAATTTTTTTCTTAGTGACTCACGAAATAAGCAGATAAAATTTTGAAATAAATAATTACCAAGTGATTAATTGACTTATATACAACACTGTTACCAAACAATTGCAGAATATACATTCTTTGAAATTGAACACAGGTCAGTTTCATTATATTTAAAGGACTTGAATCACATAGAGTATGTACTCTGATCATGGTAGCATTAAGACAGAAATTAATAATGGATATCTAGAAAATCACCAAATGTTTGGGAATTAAACAATGCATCTGCAAATAACCTATGAACCAAAAAAGGAGCCACAATGCAAATCAGAAAATATTTTGATTATAACATATCATAATTTGTGAGACGCAACCAAAGGTATACTTAGTATGGAAATTATTGCCTGATATGCTATTTATAAAAAAGAAGAAAGGCTGGTAATTATGATCTAAGTATACTTTTCAAGGAGCTCATCAAATTACATAAAGATAAAAAGAAATATAATCATTATAACAGCAGAAATTAATGGAATAGAAAACAAAAGTCAAAAGGTGGTCTTTTGAACAGTGTAATAAAATGGTGAGTACCCTAACAAGATTGAGAAAACAAGAGAAAATACATAAACTACCAGTGTCCTACGTATGACATTACTACAGACAATATAGACATGAAAACAGATGAAGAGATATTCGGAATCACATTTTAGCCACTATGGATATTTAGAAAATGTGGACAACAACCATCATCTTCCCAAAACTAACACAGTAAGATATAGAACATCTGACTAGTTTTTTTCTGTGAAAGAAATTTGAATCTATGTCTAAAAACCTTTCCACAAAGAAAATTTAAACTTCACTGGTGCATTCTTCCCAACATTGATGAACAAAATAAGCAAATTCCTATTGTTCCAGAAAATAACAGAAGAGGAACACTATTTCATTTTAGGAGGCCTGCATAAACTTGGTATTACAAACCTAAGTAGTATATTGAAAGAAAGGAAGATTACAGGATGTTCTCTTTCATAGTGTACACGCAAAAATCCTGAGCAAAATACTGACTAATTAAACCAAGTAATACATTCAACAGATAATCTGTTTCAACTAAATAGGATTTGTTCTAGTAACGTAAGTTTGGCTTCATATTAGGAAATCCACTCTTGTGATTTATAATACTAAAAAGTAAAGAACAAAAGCCATATGATCATCTCAATAAATGTCAAAAAACATTTCATAGCATTCAATGCCTACTCTTGATTAAAAATAAGAACTTCGAAAGCTATTAATATAAGGAACTCTGTTAATCTAATAAAATTTAACCATACCAATGGAAGAGCTACTGAAAACAACTTGCTTAATGATAAAACATCGAAAGCTTTTCCCTGAGATCCAAAATGAGACGGGGATGCCTATCTTAGGTTATTGTCACCTCCCATTACCTTTTTATTAAGAGTGTCAACTCGTGAAATAAAACAAGAAAAAAAAAAGTAAGGAAGCTATCAAGATTTAAAAGAGAAAAATAAAAGTCATTATCTACATACTATATGGCAGTTTATGCAGAAAATCCAAAAAAATCTCCATATAAATCAATATTTACATATGAACTTATAGCAAGTTTGGCAGATAAAACATGAATTTCCCAATGAAATTATATCTCTGTATTTATAATACACATAAAGGAAATGAAATTTGCTTGTTATTATCAGTCAGAAAATAACATTTATTATAGCATCGCAGTTTGAAAAAGGCCTAGAAACAGATCTAATACAAATGGTCAAGACTTCTGCATCAAAAATTTAAAAATGTTCCAGAGAAAGTAAACATGGTCCAAGGAGGGATATTAACCTTCCATGATATGTAGAAGACTTCTATATATCAAGATTTATTATACTGCTATAGTGATTAAGATATCTCGGTCCTGGCTTAGGCACAATGGATCCATACAACAAAAGGTGGATTCTAGAGACAGACCACTCCCCAGGGTCATCTGGTCACCACAAAGGCGCCACTGCAATGCAGCAGGGGAACCCACATGGAGAAACATTAGTCTGGACTCTCCTCTTATACCACTGTGAAATCACTTCCACACTAGTGATACACCTTAAATGTTCAAGTTAAAACAACCAAACTGAAATAAGAAAATATAAGAAAATGTCCCAAGCCAAATTTTCTTAAGTGGGACGCAAAAAACACTAAATGAAAAGAACTTTGTAAAAACTGCAAGCTTCTATTCATCTACAGACCTACTGTAAGGCGAAAATGCAAGCCACCAACTGGGAGAAAATGCTTACACATATGTAGATCTAACGAAGAAAGAATATCCTGAATATATAAAAATCCCTACGTATCAAGAAGAAAAGTAAAAAAACCCATTTATTTTTAAATGTCAATATAACTGAACGGGTGCCTCATGAGATGAGATGGTCAAGTGAGCCACACACACATACTGGTCACCATCATCAGTCAGCAGGAAGACGTGAGCTAAAACCACAGTGGGTTACCACAACCACCGGAATGGCTAGCATCTGTGAAAACTAACACAACAACCAACTCTGATTATGCTGAGTGTTGGTGAGGGTGTGGAAACCAAAGTCTGTGGCGGGAGCGTAACCACTCTGAGAAAGTGTTTGGCTATATCTACTCAGGCTGAAGGTACCTGCGGATGCCGGCATTCCAGGGCTCAGTTCACGACCCACGAAAATAGCCCCATGGAAATACTTGCGTACACATGGTGCCAAAAAAGGCCCAAGATGGTTTATAACAGTATCACCCAAATAATTCACATAATTATAACAGCGTAATTCAATAACCAAAGAGTGGCGACAACTCAAGTGTTCCTCCAATGGAGAGTAAATAAATAAATGAGGATATATTCACACAGCAGATGATTTTAGAAGAGTAAAAGTGGGTAGCTGTTGCTGAAAGCAGCAGGATAGATGGTTATCAGAAATACAACAGCGAGTGAAAGCAGGCAGATGCAGAAGAGAACACACTGGGTGAGTCCTTTTATACAAAGTACAGAAAAAAATACCAAACGAATCCATAGTTATATATGCCAAAATCTTTTGTGATGATTAGGGTAAACTGAGGAAGAGGCTTCTTAATATTTCATTTCTTTACGAAGTTGCTGGTTACCTGGGCATGTTCACCAAATGAAAATTCATGAAACCATACACCCATGAGTGGTGCATGACTCTCTTTATATATTGTGATTCAAGATAACATTGACTTCAAAGAAGGACTGGCCAAGATTCTACAGCCAAATATAGGAGAAAAGAAAAGTAAAATGACTGAACCAAACGGGGACTTCTGTAGTGAAGTATCCGAAAATTACTCAGAAAAATGAAGAAAAAAAGTAGACTGAGGGACAAGGGAGAAATCTGCTAAGGAAGGAAAAATGAGGAGTTTTAAATAAAATCAAAATACTTCTAAATTGCACTTTTCTATTGCAATATAATTTATATTTTGATCTACTTATTGAAGGAATTTGAGACTGTCTTTGCAAATGTATTTTGTGATAAGCAAAAAAAACAATAGTCTAGAAAAATGTGATCTGAGTGTTAACAATAGACTCCTAATGTATGAGCTTATATAGGTTTATTCCATATTCTCAAGAGGCTGCTTTGATGAAAAGTAACATTGTAAATGTTTTGCAGAGAAAGAATTTTTTTAAAATTTAGAAACCTACACATTTCCTTTACTCATCTTTCTAAAATATCACTGTTTTATTTTTTAATAGCTCACACATGTTAAGTGCTCACAAGGGTCTATGAGGTTCAGTGGAATGACAGGGAATGACATGGCAGGTATTGCATATGGTGGGTGCAGCTTCAGATTCCAGGCTAGGGGGCAGTGTCAGCTGGGGGAAAATGCATCTGTCCTTATAATTTCAAATATCCTCCAAGTGAGAGAGACTTCAGCTTCTGACACAAGCTTGTCAACTTTAGCCTCTTGAGCTGCTCTTACAAAGAAGACCCACTACATCCCACTGGGTCACCTGGAGTGGAATCTTCAGTTAATATTTTATTAATAATATATAATAATAATATATATTATATTATATATAACAATAATAATATAATATTAATAATATTAATATTCAGTTCAGGTGAGCCAGGCTGCCTACCTGGCTAACTAGATGTAACAGGAGCCTGTGTTTATTTGGGGGGTTCCTTTCGTCACGAGTCTCAAGTCCTACCAGTTGTGTTTGTAAAGAGAATATTACCCCCATGTTTATCTGCCATCCATAAAGAAATCTGATTGCATATTCTATTTCTACTGTCCCAGTTGACAGTAATTATTCAGAAAAAGAAATGCCTTTATTCTCTGCATTATTTAGCAAGCAAACATCTCATCTCTTACAATTCATTTTGTTTGACAGTTTGGGCACATCCTACTGCTACGGGCTCTATGGAACATTCACAATCTGATATCCAAATGAAATGCTATATACACTTAGTTAAAAGGGCAAGTTATGTTTGCTCCTGGGTTTTGGCACCAAAAGGAAAAAGAAAAGAAAAGAAAAAAGGGAAGGGAAGGGAAGGGAAGGGAAGGGAAGGGAAGGGAAAGGAAGGGAAGGGAAGGGAA